GTCTCTGGTAGTTCAGGAGCAAAGTGCAGGAGGAGAGGAGGAGGAGGAGATGTGACTGATCACTGCAGCAGCTCGAGTCGACTCGAGCCGGCCCGCTGCTTCAACCAAACTGCTCTCACTGAAAGTCCCGCCCTGCTCTGCTCTGATTGGACAAAACGGCTCTGGACTTCATCTGATTTGTTGAAGGCAGTGTCCGTTTAATCCTTATATCAGGGTCCCGCTCTGCCGCACCGAACAACGATCCATTCACACCAGTGCGGCTGGATTTTTTAAATTTTTTTTTAATTTTTTAAGAAATCAGGTCGCATTTGCGACCACACTGGTCGCACTCTAGAGCCCTGCTAACTGTTGTTTTGACAGACAATCAGGTACAATCTTAGGTACGCAAGGGAGCTTTATGACATCCCATCTGGTGCACTTTTTCCTTTTTTGATCGCGCATGCGCACCTGCGTACCGGTTATGTGCACCTCTGCTTATATCACCGTATATATGTATAAATGTATTAGCTTGGCACTAACRCGAAAGCTAACAAGCTAATGATGTGTTCCAGTTGTCCCCGAAGGTTGTAGTAGTTTCACACTTCCGAGTTGTAATTCTTAGTTGGAACRCCCCCTGATGTCGTAGTTTCAAGTCAAGAAGTTGCCAGATTGGGCTTCTTTTGAACAYGKTGGGCTGGWAAAAACAGCTCTGGGCGGGGTGTTAAAATTTGGGCTGCCTTTTACCACATTTGGCAGGTTTTTAGAAAGTATTCATTAGGAAATTAYATTAAATATCAAGTGTCACTACAAAATGGTATTCTCAAAGTTGAACAGCCGGGTACTTTGTCACGTGACCATGTTGTAGACGGAGGCTGACGTATTGGTTTGGGGGAAAATAGGACGAGTTCCTCTATGTGGAAAATAGGGAAAATGGTGAAAAGTTGCTGTAGAACTGCACTTCTCACGGAAAAAGATATCCAGAGATAAAATATTAATTTTTTTCTAACTGCAAGAGTGAGGGGAGAGAAATAAGACACGTGTCGTTGTTCTGCCTCTGCAGACCTCTGTGCTTCTCCTTATTTAAAAAGAATTGCCTCATTGTTTGATTTAAAACACAATTAATAAAGTCCTGCTCTCACCGGCTCTTCATTACCGCCAATCTCCATTCAAATTTCACCTCTTTTTATTTTCTTCTTCCTGTAGATTTTTTACTGCTTATCAGATAACTTTGAGCCTCAGTCAAAAAGGAGGTCTGAGGGTTTATATTTTTTCGTTTTAAGAGAAAGATGAGACTGACGATGGACAGGTGTTTTTTTCCACGAGATTACCGTGTTTCCTGCTCCCTTCAGCCACAGTTTTCCTCCATAAAAAAATGGAGGTTGAAATCGTGTGACTGAATGACATCACGCCGATTTCGAGAATTGGGTAATATCAACTATAAACGCACCAAATAGATAACTGGGTTTCTGAGATTCTGAGGACCTACCCCCTCCTTCTGCAAAACAATCCGAGGGCTTCTAGTTGACTTTTGTCATGAATATACTTGCAGCAAACACCTTTACCCACTACCAGCTGTTTCTTTACAAGTTTTAATTTCAGAGCTACAGAAAATGTAARTAATGATTCAATGCAGATGTGTGCCACACACACGTATGTATATWCACTGCTCAAAAAAATAAAGGGAACACTTAAACAACGCACGCTAAGTCCAAGTAAATCAAACTTTTGTGAAGCACATTCAACTCTGTACAGAACAAAGTACTCAATGCGAATATTTCATTGATTAAGATCGGGAGTTAGCGTGCGTTGTTTAAGTGTTCCTTTTATTTTTTTGAGCAGTGTATATACGTGTGTGTGTGTGTGTGTGTGTG